CAACAAACAACTTATTCTTGTATAGCCCTAAATCACGACAGAAGTCATCCCACTTGACAAAACCATTGAAATCACCAACACAGATCAGAAAATCAACAGTGAAGACACAAAATATACACAAAGAAATGTGCAGGACATGTTGGTTTGATCCTGCTTAATATCTGCTTTAGTTGTGGTTCTGCTCTGCTTTAGACTTGCTTTAGTGCAGGGACAGTTCTGCTTTAGTCCTGGTTCTGTCCTTCTTTAGACCTGCATTAAGTCCTGCTTTATAATCGGTTCAATCTGGCTTTAGACCTTCTTTAATACTGGTCCAGTTCAAGTTCAGTCCTGCTTTAATCAGCTCTGTTTTAGTCAATGGGCCTTAGTCCTGCTTCAACCTGCTTTAGTCCCGGTACAGTTGTGCTTTGGTCCTGGTTCAGTCCTGCTTTAATCCTGGTTCAGTCCTGCTTTAATCCTGGTTCAGCCTTGATTCAGTCCTAATTCAGTCCTGCTTTAGTCCTGATTCAGTCCTGCTTTAGTCCTGGTTCAGTCCTACTTTAGTCCTGGTTCAGTACTGCTTTAGTCCTGGTTCAGTCCTACTATAGACCTGGTCCAGTCCTACTTTAGTCCTGGTTCAGTCCTTCTTTAGTCCTGGTTCAGTCCTGCTTTAGTCCTGGTTCAGTCCTGCTTTAGTCCTAGCTCAGTCCTGCGTTAGTCCTGGATCAGTCCTCCTTTAGTCCTGGCTTAGTCCTGCTTTAGTCCTAGCTCAGTCCTGCTTTAGTCCTGGTTCAGTCCTCCTTTAGTCCTGGCTCAGTCCTGCTTTAGTCCTAGCTCAGTCCTGCTTTAGTCCTGGTTCAGTCCTCCTTTAGTCCTGGCTCAGTCCTGCTTTAGTCCTAGCTCAGTCCTGCTTTAGTCCTGGTTCAGTCCTCCTTTAGTCCTGGCTCAGTCCTGCTTTAGTCCTAGCTCAGTCCTGCTTTAGTCCTGGTTCAGTCCTACTTTAGTCCTGGCTCAGTCCTTCTTTAGTCCTGGCTCAATCCTTCAAGTTTTGACAACTCTAAGCTGTGTCTAAAAACTTGAAATTCAAAAGAAAACACAAACTTGGTCCAACCTTTCCAGATAAATGCAAATCTTGACTCACGCCATTTTATTCCATAAACTTTACCCCTGTATCAACTCCATCTCGCTCAAATCAAAGTTCAAATGACGGCACCGTGGCAAGACTTCCTTACGTCGGTGGTTGTCGTGACCCGCGAGCCCGCTCCTCCATCCTTTCCAGTCAACAGGTGACGGCTCCGTTTGATGTTTCGCAGACTGAATTTTCACGACTTGTGCCAGAGCCGAGCGCACTTCAAACACCCCCACCCCTTCTCCTCTGCGCTTGCTTTAATCCACTCCAGCACCGGCAGCACCCTTCCTTCCCTCTCCGGTTCAAAGCCTAAAAAAAAAGGCTCACCCAAACTTACTTTACTAATTTGTCATTATTTATCCGATGGAGTCCTCAAGAATCCAGCTAATTGGGTTCATTATCTCTTGGTAACGGACGTAAAACTGAAGGTAGGACAGTCAGTGCCTTGGGTTGGTGATATTTTAGAGAATAGGTTGCTTCCATGTAATAATAATAATCTCTGTTCTGATAATAATTCACTAGTTGTTATCCATCCACCCATTTTCTTCCGCTTAATCCATTTCTGGGTCAGGGGGGGTTGGCAGTCAGAGCTGCACCCAGTACACAGAGCACCAGCCCCTCACTGATCCTCCTGCAGGTGGTGAGTCCACAGGAGCCTTGATTTTTCAGCGGGAGCTTCAGACAAAGTGGGGTTAATTGTCTTGCCCAAGGACACAACGACGTCGTTGTGTCGTGAAGTTGGGCTCGAACCGACGATCTTCAGGCTCTAAAGCCAATGCACTACCAACTGTAAACCCTAACTTCAATCCTACTTCAGATATCAAAAGTTATTTTAAATAGATTTTTCCCAGTAAGTATATATTACTCATTTATTGTTAGTTTATTTAAAGCTTGCCTATGTCACTCAGGGTTTTCTTTGAATTGAACTGTTTCTGTTCAAGTAAGCCTCACTTTTGACATTTTGATGTGTAGAGTCTTTAATGAGGCAGGTGTGACAATGGCAGGGTAGCCCGGTGGCTGAGTGGGTAGCACCATTGCCTCTCAACTACAGGGTTCTGAGTATGAATCCCGGTCGGAGCACAAGTAAAAATTTTAACTTTATTGCAATCACTCGAGTTACTTGGTAATATCAAGTAAAAGATGTACTCGAGGAATTCAAGTGAAGTTAATACGCAATTTATTTCCATGGTTTTTTCAAGTAAACTTTACTTGTCAGGGTTTACAGTGAGCTGAGCCAATGTCGCCCCCCATTGTTGTTACTATCAATACTAGATTATTACATATCCATTCAACTGATATTTCCGTCATTCACTAGTCACTTTACCTGCTGCTATAATTACTATTGTTTATTCTGTCATGTCTCTGCTGCTAAAGTGCAATACATATGTAAATACCGCCTAACCTAATGCAATTATAGCTCCATGTTATAATTTATTCTAGTTCATTAACAATTACTTAGACTTTTAATTGCATAATCTATTATCATAAAAAATAGATCTGAGCGCTCTTATTTCCTCTCTTTATTATTCTGTAATGTGCGCAACGATGAGATTGAAATTTCCCCACTGTGAGACAAATCAAGGAATATCTCATTTTATCCTATCTTTTTTGTATGCATGTATCATATTTTCCAGAGAAGGTCAACCAAAGCGCTTTACAATGTCCGGTGTTCAGATATTTTTTCATTCTCTCCATACAGTAATGTCAAAAGTGAGACACTGAAAACGTTATGTCCTAATGTGCATGTTATTAGTGGTATGGAAAACCGGAGCACCTGGAGGAAACCTACGCACACACAGGGAGATAATGCAAACTCCAAACATAAAAGCTTGGAGGTGGAATCAAACCCAGAACCTTCTTGCTTTTTATAAATTCAAAGACGCTTTACATGTCATTATTTATTCACTCCATACACTTTGGCGATAAACTACCACTGTAGCCACAGCTGCCCTGGGGCACACTGACATAAGCGAGGCAACCAGTCTGTGCCATTGGCCCCTCTGACCCCCACCAGCCATTTATACACACACACCAGACTCATTTATGTGACATCACACTATGGCAAAGAACCTATACTTTAAATTTGTAGCGGTGAACAGAGGTAGCTTTAAAAAAAGTTTGATTCAAGTCTTACTTTATATTTAATTTCTCTGTAATCCACATGAAACAAAATCTGTTACAAATATTCTTTCAGCACTACTCAACTACCGCCTCACTATTTTACACAAAAGGTGTCGACAATATTCAAAATTATATGCAGGGTGTTGGCCGGAAGAAAAGACACGAGACATAAGGGTATAAAATAATTGCTTCTTTCCCTTAAAAATGTCCGAAACACTGATATAGATTCCTAGAAGATGAGTTTTCACATCTTTCGATTCAATTTTTCAGTCTCAATCAGCCAATCAGTTCGCAGCCCAAAGCGTCAAATAGTGACTCACAAGGTTTTAACCATCTATGCCAAAAGATATTGTGTTTTGTAATTGAGACAGCATGTTCGAGGCTGATTTGTTCACACATAATTTACTTCTACAAGAATCTTTCTGTTTGGGGCAAAGACACAACATGTATAATGTAAGAATAATAACGTTAGGTACACCAGCTGTTTTATTAGTCTGTGAAACAATCCCATACACTAGAGAACAGGTGTCAAAGTCAAGGCCCGGGGGCCAGATCCGGCCCGCGAGACCATTTCCAGTGGCCCTTGAGATGATTTTAAATTATTATATTAAATAGCAGCATAAATGGTATTTGGCGACAATGGCATTTTATTCATTATTAAGAAAACAGCCATAACTTTTAATTCCATAAGAAATACAGGATTTCCCAATTTTCTCGGAAAGAACCGCCCTCTACACTTTTTGAACAAAACCGTCTGGTCTTATTTGACGAGCAAAAATCACCAGAATGATTGACAACTGGGAGGAGCAATAGTTTTGATGATCCACCCAAAAGTATAAAATCTTCCTGTACAGCTTCAATATTTGGTCCAGTTTTGGTTCAGTCCACAGAATTCTAATCAGAAAAGAATGTCCAATCCAACTAATGTGAAACAAGTCAATTATTTAGAAACTTTCATATTCCAAATAATAATAATACATGAAACCCACTTATTTTTTTGGCCCCTGACCAGCTTTCTTTTTTTAATCGGCCCTCGACCAAAATAAGTTTGACACCTGAGACTAGAGGCTAGAGTACAGTTTGTCTATTCTTCTCCGATCTTCAAAGTTTTGAAACAACCCAAAAATGTAGTTAGCTTTTCAAAAAGGCCCATGCCAAAACTTTTATTCCTAAACGTTAGCATATCATTTCAACTCAATGCCATTTAGTGCGACTATTCAACCTTCTAATCCTTCTAATTACGCTTAATAATTCTAACAAGTCACTCTACTCAATGATAAATTCTCTGCCAACCCAGCTTGATTCGACGCCGCACAAAGCAGCTATGGCGTTAGCATAGCGCTGTAAGCTAATAACTTAAATGAAAAGACTGATTAAGATTTATGCCCCAAACACTCAGCCTCAACTCGCAAACTTTCCACAGACAAAAAGAGAAAAAAATGCAATTCTTTCAGATTCAGCTTACAATTTTTGTTCCTTTTTCCAGTTATTTTTGTGTGTGTGCTTACGTTTGTCAGCTAGGCAGGGATTTTGCGCATAAATAAAAAAAACACATGGCATGAACTTACCGCCAAAAGGATGTTCCGCTTTTGACACTTCCTCTATCCCTTTCCAAGAACAAAGGCGGCCAAGAATTAATAAGAAATGCAGCGTTATGAATACAAATGCGAGTGAACTCACGGTAATCAGTGGCTGACCCGGCTAGGCTTCCCTCCCCGCCGACGTAGCATGCTTTTTAGCCGCATGTGTGGGAGTCACTGGGAGAGGGGGGAGTATGCAAATGGCCGACGGAACAGCAAAGAGCAAGCTGACCTCAAAGTTCAGGTAGAAAAATGCTTTTTTTCTTTTCATTTTATGTTATTTTGAAAATAAACCAAATTATTATTGGAGGGAAAAAAACAGTCGACAGGTGGCACTGGGTGAGTTGTGTTTCTTTGCTCTCGATTCAAAATGCGCAATTATTTTCAAAGTTTTGGAATATTTTGGGTTTATAATAAGCTTTATAATATGGTTTTCACCAAAGGGACTATTGTCAGGGTGGTTTTTATTTTTAATTTTGATAAAGATTCAGCTTGAGTACTCTTGGATCTACAGCCTCAGTCCTGGGTCTACAGCCTCAGTCCTGGATCTACAGCCTCAGTCCTGGGTCTACAGCCTCAGTCCTGGGTCTACAGCCTCAGTCCTGGATCTACAGCCTCAGTCCTGGGTCTACAGCCTCAGTCCTGGGTCTACAGCCTCAGTCCTGGGTCTACAGCCTCAGTCCTGGGTCTACAGCCTCAGTCCTGGATCTACAGCCTCAGTCCTGGGTCTACAGCCTCAGTCCTGGGTCTACAGCCTCAGTCCTGGGTCTACAGCCTGAGTCCTGGATCTACAGCCTCAATCCTGGATCTACAGCCTCAGTCCTGGATCTACAGCCTCAGTCCTGAATCTACAGTCTCAGTCCTGGATCTACAGCATCAGTCCTGGGTCTACAGCCTCAGTCCTGGACCTACAGCCTCAGTCCTGGATCTACAGCCTCAGTCCTGGATCTACAGCCTCAGTCCTGGATCTACAGCCTCAGTCCTGGATCTACAGCCTCAGTCCTGGGTCTACAGCATCAGTCCTGGATCTACAGCCTCAGTCCTGAATCTACAGCCTCAGTCCTGGATCTACAGCCTCAGTCCTGGGTCTACAGCCTCAGTCCTGGATCTACAGCCTCAGTCCTGAATCTACAGCCTCAGTCCTTGCCGATGCAGGAGGGTCTAAGGACAGTGAGGATCTGGTGCAATGGTTTTACATTTTGGGATATTGGTCATCTTGTTCCCTATGGACCGAGTGTTTACATTACTGATCTTAGTAACCTCACCAAGTTTTTTGTTGTTGTAATGTATTAGATTACTGCAAAAAGAAACACTTTACAGTAATTACCTTACGTTTGTAATGCGTTACTCAGTTCATATCCTACATACAGGTGTCAGAACAGAGTATAGTTTTAAGGTACAGTCCACGGATCGGCAGTGTGTCCCGCTAACAATTTGTGTCAGGTCCCAGGAGGGGCCCCTAATGAGGCCCAGGGCTGGATCCCCGCCTCGGACCACTGGACTGAGAAGCTCTGAGCAGCCCACCGATTATTAATCAAACCGCAACTCTGTCGACTCATCAGACTGAAGCCACCGGCTGGCCTCTTAGAGTACATGTTTTGAGCTGCGGAAGTGATGAAAAAATAACAAGGATTTGATTGAGAGGAGTGTGGGATGTGGGAGAAAGAGATAGAAACGAGAGATTAAATTGAGATGTTGTTGTTTGAGCCTGGTTCATGTGGTTCTTTAAAATTGAAATGTATTTTGATTTTTTTCTGTAAATCCGATTTGTCCGCCGTCTGAATGCGTATGACGAATAATTACAATAATTGACATAATCACAATTATTTGTCAAATTAAACCATAGAAAAAGCCAGTGTCATGATTTACACACTTTATTTATCTATTTATTTGTGTATAACCCTAAATAGAAAAAATTACCAAAAACATAGGAGTTATTGGTCCATAGGGAGCAGGAAAACCACAGACCGGAAATGTCCAATAATGTCCTGATTCATCAATGTTCTCAGATCCTGCCGCATCGGGAACAAATGACTCATATAACCCACTGGGGAGACAAATGAGAAACCTCAGGGATGTCCACAATGAGAGAAAAATTCAATCTCATAACGGACAAGCTGTAGATCCTGGACTCAGGCTGCACTGCATTCGGAGGGATAGAAAGTAACTCCTGTTTGGATGCAAGTTTCAGAGCTATTCATAAAACAGAAGAATGTAACTCCCTGCTTCTATCACTAGAGCGGGGAGCTTCATGTTAATCCATATTGATAAATGATGTCACATTTTAAAACAAAAATATTCTCAATATCACATTAAAGGGCTTAAAAAATTACACTCTTAAGTCATATTTTTTCCACCACAAACTCAACAGGATTTGCCTCTCATGCAAATTCACTACAGGTTCAGGTGCCCTACTATTTCAGACTTAAACATTGGGTCTAAAATAGACCAAAAGATAATACATTAGTTTTGTCCCAACTGTAAGATTTATATTAAGTAAAATGTTGTAAGAAAATAAGACCATAGCGTTCTGTCTTCAGAGAAAACCTTACTGCATACTTACAGAAAAAGAGCCCTGAGAGTCACTATTTGACACTGAGGGCAGATTGGCTGAGTGAGGGTGGTCCTCTCTTTTGTCCTTTCCTCGTGACAGAGGTCCAAAATACATAGTTTGAAACTTAGGTACCCCTGTTTAAACTCCGGAGTGCCTTAGCGCTTAAATTAGCCTTGAGGCCGCTTTAGCCGCTAACTAATAGCCACGCAAACCACCAAAGACAAATAATAGGGGAAAAAATCTGCAAAACAGACCAATTGCCAAAGGTCTTCACAATACACTGGACATGCACGCCGGCCCACGCACACACGCAAATCTGACCGCTAACCCTCTCTCTCTGGCCCATCGTTAGCCCGAGCTAGCCCAAAGCCATGGCTGACCTTCTAGAGCGCGGGGGTGAAACATTGCGTCCGCATTGGCTGGAGCGAAACGCCGGGAGTGGTGGCCGTTTCCCCCTGTTACATCTCACCTTTTCATCGCTTATTGTTGTGGTTCCCAAGCTGTGGTTCATGGTTTTAATCCGTATAGAAAGGCGGCGCTGACGAGGCCTGGAATCAAGAACAAAAAGGCGCCAAGCGGTCGTGGGTGGACCTCAGAAATTTGGTTAAATGTCCAATTTAGGTTAAATACGATGCATTATTTGTGTTGACAAGAGCCCTTTAGAATGTGACATCACCTAAAGTTGGGGCACCTCAACCAATCAGCTCTCAGCCCAAAAAGTCAATCCGGGCCTTGACTGGACCGAGCCAGTGGGGATCCCGGATTAGTTTAGTCTTTTAGTGGAATTTAGTTTGCTTTTAGAATATCAATTTATCTACACAATGAAAAAGTTTACACAATGTACCACACAACAGATTCAGATTCATATTCATTTGCCATGTTCAGTGTAAAAACTACACTGAAATACATTTGCAAAAAAAGGTACTCTGTGCCCACCAACAGAATAAAGAGCACAATACAATGTCATATAAAATACACATACTCTGAACATAAATAAAAAACAGCTGACACCGTGGCACAGATCGACAAAAAAATGATACAAGGGGTAAAAGCAACAATTAAAGTCCTCTGTTTAGACAAGAGCTCTGGTGTGTGCCGACCTCTCTGTCCGGTGCACACTGGGGTAGTCTTGCACAGTTTTTCCAATGTGGTTTTACTGCAAATGGCAAATAAATGAATCCCAATTTGAATCTGATCTAACAGCTTGTGCAAAGAAGCTGTTAGCATAGCGAGATGTCTTGCTATGCTAACAGCGACCGATATCTTCTGCCCGAGGGAAGAAGCTGGAACATGGCTTTACCGGGGCGGCAAGAAGAGTCATTGATGATTTTAAGAGCTCGTTTAAAAGTCTGGATTCATAAAGAGCCAGCCAAAGAGACAACAACACATTGATACTATAATTAAGAAATTCCATGCTTCTTTCTTACAATATGTAAAACGCGCTGTATTAATAAACATGACTTACTTACGATGATGAAGTACAATGTGTAAAATCCGATGTAGAACCGGAGCTAGAAGAGATCCCGTAGAAAAGCTGTATTTGTTCTATCTCAGGTTAAATCTGAATCTTAAATCTTAGCTTTATCTTAAAACGTATTCTTATTACCCGTCCTACAATGCTACGAGGGCCTCTGTTTTTGTTTTTAATGGTAAGGAAAAACCTACTCAGACACGTGAAGGCCCAGATTTCAGATTATTTAGAGTACCTGATGCTTAAAAACAAGAGTCCTTAAGAATGTGACATCAGCTCAGCCCAAAGAGTGAAATAGTGACTCGCAGGGCTTGATTGCTAACCACTCAGCCCATACCCGATCTGGAACTGGATCCCATTGAACAGGGGTAATTTGAGATACGGCAAAATAGACACCAGTGTTTCCCACAGGTTTGAAGGCAATGTGTGGTGGTCGTCGGCGGGGGGGCGGGGGGGGGGGGGGGGGGGGGAGTGGGGTACAGTGGTACAGTGGTAGAGGACAATCTTGAGGTCATGAATCCAGTGAAATTAGTCGCACACCTTTTTACAGTAATAAGTTACAGCAGATCAAAAGTGACATGTTTTGACCATTTTTAGGCTATTTTGGACCAAAATGGCTACTTTACCTCAATATTTCTCAATATTTCTACAGTAAAAGTGTCTGGTCTTTGGTACAGTGGTAGAGGACAATCTTGAGGTCATGAATCCAGTGAAATTAGTCGCACACCTTTTTACAGTAAAAAGTTACAGTAGATCAAAAGTGACATGTTTTGACTATTTTGGAGGTATTTTGGACCAAAATGGCTACTTTACCTCAATATTTCTCAATATTTCTACAGTAAAAGTTTCTGGTCTTTGGTACAGTGGCAGAGGGCAATAATAAGGTCATGAGTCAAGTGAAATTAGTCGCACACCTTATTCCAGTAAATAGTTACAATACTTGAAAATTGCACTAGCGGACCAAATTGTGTACTTTATATATGTAAACAATAGAGTGGCTATCCTCCTGAGGACTCACAATCTGCAGGAGGAATCGTAGGGGGCTGGTGCTATGTGTGCCGGGTGGCATCTCTATAAGGTTTTAATCACAAAAACGTGTCTCCCTGACCCCAGCGCGCTTTCTGTTCGATAAAAATGGGTGACTCCGAAAGGACGTTCCGCTGTTACCGTAAGTTCTCAACAAAACGCGCACCGTCTTTTCCCCGATGCGGGCCGCATGTTCATAGAGCTGAAAGATGCGGGCCACTTTACCGCGGTAAATTAATAGACACAGCTGCTTACAGCGATGATCGCTGATGGAGACGGAGACACGCGGTGTGCACAAAGGGGAGGGGCTGTGTGTGTGTAGGTCTCTGTATGTGGGAGAGACGCGTAGCTTGAGTGAGAGTTACGAAGGGCCGCCACATTTTAAACCCCCCTCCCCGCTGTCAAATTGACCGCTGCGGCGGCACTAGACGATGCATGTTTTAAATAGCGTAACAAAAAAAAATATATATATAATAATACGAAACGCAATTTGTGGCGGGCGGTCTCTAATCTGTGGCGGTGCGCCACAGATTAGTCTATGTGTGGGAAACACTGGACACATTTCGTAAAAACCCTTTGGTCCATACAGCCGTGGTACCTTCGTTTGGATTGAGCAGTTCATTTTTCAAATTCTGAAGAGAGTGACATTTTTGCAGTCAAGGACAAGTTAGACCCGCCCATGCTTACCCTCGGAGCTTCCTGATTGGTCAGAATTAATTCAAACCTTGTCGTGGGTTTAGCTATTCTCCTCCAACAAATGTACTGGTTGTATAGTTAGTCCAAGGGGAGAGACAATTTAAAATATACTATTGTTTAAACATACTTACTTTGCATAATAGTAAAATGCCCCACGTCACCTTTAAGAAGTTCATTACAGTAGTTAGGTTTTATACAGTAGACTTATATTTGAATAATTATACTACCAGGACATACAACTATGTATTTTGTGCACTAGAATAAGTATTTTTTAATTGCTTCTCTATTATCCTAAAGTTAGAGATGTTACACTTATTTCTTTGATATGCTAGAGTTATAGATTTTGTTTTATTATAGTAGATTAATTTACGATTATTGTTGATGTATGTTTTGTTGTGTGCTCGTCATTCCTTCTGGGTGTTAGCTGGCGATGCAACACTGAAATTTCCCTACTCTGAGATGAATAAAGGATCTCTTAATCTTATTCTTAGCTTAATCTGGCGTGATTTTTTGCAGATGTATCCTCTCTTCTCCCTGTGTAGAGTACAGTGTGACTCTAGGGTGATTTTTCATTCACAAAGTGTCCCGTGTAAGGCATAGGCGTGTGGCTTTGTGCGCAGTGCCAGTGCCCCCTATGGGCCATAAGCGGCGCTGCTCTTGTCATCTGCATGAGTGCGTTTGGACCCAGCTGTCAAACCATCATCCTCACTGTACGCAGACGGAGAAATACAGCGTGGACGAAGATTGCAACAAATAAGGAGTGAGGACCTTTGAAGTATTTTAGTCAAGCTAAAGTTTGTTTTAACTGTTTGGAGCTCAAAATGACTCTTTTTCATAAATTACACATTTATTTGTTCCAACAGAAAGAGTCCTGTGAAAATTAGGATAGGAATAGCCCATTGAGGGACTTTTTGACACTTTGGGCTTCAGATCGGACTGGCTGAGCAAAGTGGGTTCTCTCTTTTTTATCGTTTTGTTTGAAAAATATGTTTGGTTGGTAGGACACTATCCTTGTAAAAAATATGCATACATTTTTCAATAAACATTAATCAAGAGGAGAAACACATAGCAGATTATAGCAGCAGTGCTAACTTACACCTGTAGTCCCTGAGCAGGTTGTTGTAAAACAATAAACTAAAATAATCGGATACATGGCCATACATTTAGCAAGCTGAAATTACATCTTACAAAACAAGTTATGATAAAAACCACAAGAGGCAAACTGTTTTAGAGCCAGAGACCAGTGATGCAGATTTTACATTTAAAGCTGTTTGGAAGTTACATAACTGTGTCAAGTCATCATCTACTAATGTATTACTGATTCCACACTCTATTTAAAGCTGGGGTACCTGACTAACAAATATAAAAGAGCAAATACATTAATCTACTAGTTTTCACATCTTTAAATCAGCCTTTTCCAGACACAAAATTGAATAAGAGATAACCACAATCCCACAGCCCAAAACCTCCAATAATGACTCACAGGGCTCTCTGTACTAAAAGAGAAAATAGTTTACTAATCAGATGAAAACAGCTTGTTGTGGTCTGATTTGTCCACAATTTTAAAATACAGAAGTCAGAAGTTTTGTATTTTAATTCTTCATTATGCTAACTATTGGAGATCTTCGATTTGCAAACGTATTATGCTAAAGCTTGATATGTTATACTTGCTTCTTTTTTATGATAACAGTAGAGATTTTATTTTATTTTAGTATAGAGTTATTGTTCATTTAACTTGAGCTGAGTGAAATTGCCCCACTGTGGGAGGAATAAAGGATTTCTTAGTCTTAATCTAAAAAAGCAACATGTGTCCATATTCCCCACGAGAGCCCAAAAAGACCCGGACACCACCCACCTTCCCCCTGCCCTTCATCGGTCCGTCCACCACCTCCACCTGTTACCGTCCCCTGGCTCCATAACGAGGGTCCTGAGCCCATATGCGGCCTCCCTCATTAGGCTTGACGTGAGGGGCCTGTGCTGCTGGCTAGGGTCCCGGATTAGGCGCGCGTACGTGGGGGACTCGGACACAGATGCCCCGACCATGTGGCCCCCCGGTCGGGCCAGTCGGTCGGTGGGTGGGGGGAGGGCGGGGGTCTCTCAGAAGCACTAATTACAAGCGCGCGGAGCTGTGTAGCCGCGCCGCGTTTGAAGTGGTAATAGAAAGTGGACAGCTTGGGGAAAGGAATGGGTGGTGACGAAGAGATTCTGATGATTTCGAGTTTAAGTGGTTGGGAAGTTGTGGTTGTGATAGAAAGAGGTTGTGTGCCAGAGATATCCAACGTATTTCAAGTCAATTCATTCTTGTATAGCCCTAAATCGCAACAGTAGTTATCTCAGAGGACTTTACACAACCGTTTAAATTGCCAACACAGATCAGAACACAAAAAACACAAGACACTCACAACACACCCTTATGCAACAGCAAGGAACACCTCTAAACTCAGTGGGAAAAGTGAGAAACATTGGGGAGGTCCACATTGGGAGAAAGATCCACTCTCACGGACGGCCAGGCTATAGATCCAGGACTCAGGCTACAGCACGAGGTCCAAGGCCACACGGTACAAGGCTGCAGAACGAGGACCAGGATGTCAGAGCAACAGGCCTGAAATTGCTGAGGTCTTTGTCCTGCGGTACTGGTATCATACAGGAGATCTTTATTATCATCACCTTTTGGCCTGAATATCCGAGTGGATCAATAAACTATCTATGTATCTGAGGCCACGCCCCCTGTCACCCGCTGGTCTGTGGAAAACCATCAACCGAGACGAGGGGGCCTTCCTCCTGTCCCACACGGGGGCTGTCTGAGCAGTCTAATCTGCCAGGTCCATTCTAAGGTAAATTGGGGAGATACACTGTACATTATATAAGGCCATTGTCGGGAAATACAATTAAAAAACACTTAGGGAACGAGCAATTGTTTGGTGTAATGTTTTGATGTGACAAAGCCCATGTGGGGGCTCAGTGGTTAAAGCTTGTGTTTCGATTCCACCTCCAGGCCTTTCTGTGTAGAGTTTGCATGTTCTCCCCGTGTCTGCTTAGGTTTCCCCCACCACTGAAAACACAATCGGTCTGAATGTAATGAGGCTTTAATGATCCTGTGTGTTCAACATCTCACTTCCGTCATGAATGGAAAAATATCTGGATTCTGACTTCGGTCTGTAAAATGTGCAAAATAAATACACATTATATTACCTCTTTTATTTTGAGGTTCTTGGTCCCTGAATGTATCTGTGATTATGATTATGTGTTGTCCTGCACATCTGCAGGACAACACATGCAGCTCTGACTGAACCCCCGACCCAGAAATGGATTAAGGGGAAGAAAATTGATGGATGGATGGATGTATTTTAAGTCTTGCATTTTGGGTTCCTATTCAATTTTACCACACAACAGTCTTATCTTAATCAGGCTGACCAGGAAGTAACCCCTCCCAGCAGTCTGGAGTCGACAAAGAAACAGATTTCAAACAGTAGCCACCAAGAGCCAAAACAAGTCAAAAATAGACACCGTGACCATTCAGAGAAGAGTATTTCAGCAGGTGCCAAGGCAGCTCTATGGGTATGAAGCAGTTTTTGAAATAAATGTTGAAAGAAAAAAATTTAATAGTGGTTTCTGAAATCCGTCATCTTATTCTCATGTCTGAAAGTCCGTTCTACAAAGACCAACATCATGTGTATGTTTTGGAATATTGTCACCACTTCTAAATATTTTTATGAGAATATAATGAGACCATAGTTGATAAGTGTTGAAGAAGATGTGGGACTTTGTGAAAGGAATTAAAGAGGTATTAGCTCTAAACTAAGACTTCACATCTGACTTTTACCATTACGATAGTTACCAAACTGCTGAAGATCATGTAATATGAGGTAATAATTGCTTGAATTGAGTGGTTTTTTATCTAAATCTGAGCAAATTCTGGCTGTCTTAAAACAAGATTTGCCGATGGAACAAAGCCATTTAGTTTTATTTCAAGAACGTTGGCTTTTTTTTTTTTTCCCAAGGGAGACATTATTTGTTTCTTTTGAAAACGAAGATCTTTTTGCTTCATCCCATTGGCACATCGTGTTTTCAGGCAGTCAAAATGTGCAATATTTGACTTATTTTTCACATAATTTTGCAATGCAGTCAAAAAATGTTGCCCTTTACCACAATGTTTAACTATCTGCTCTTAGGAGTGAACTCTGGGACCGATCTTCTACCAGAAAAGAGAGTCAGTCCATGTGTCACTGCCAGGACGTCTCATTCTCCCGTGGATGGCATGTGTTTTCTCTCTCCACACATTGACGCGTCCCGCTGGGGTTGGAGCGAGAGGCAAGGGCGAGGCTCGCGAGGAGATCCCATGGAGGTGCCAAGCGAGGGGGGGTACAGTGGGGATGACTGACAAGGAGAGGAGGTGATGTGAAAGCGTGGTGTGAATGCACGCTGCAGACAACTCAAAATCAAACTCTTCGCATAGAGACCGTTTGATCAGACATACCATGCCCAAAACATATTGCCAAGATGCGAATTACAACCCCCAATGTAAGCCCTTTAAAACATGCTTGAATATGTCGAGGTAAAGTCTCATCTTCACAAATTATGAACAATGTTAGGACCTTTGCCTTGGAGGTGCAGGGGCCGCTCGGTTGTGGGAGATGGTGTGGATGATCTGGCCGTCCTCCTGTTCTCCCTTGGTCCCCTGCCACCCTCCTCTTGCTTGGCCCCTTAATCTAGCCTGGTGTCCCAGTCTCCCCTGGTCTCCATACAGAAAATAATAATAACAATACTTCATACTTATATACGTAGCACTATTCTGACACTCAAAGAGGCCTCCACTTTCCTGGTTTTCTACTCTTCCCTGGTCCCCTGCCCTCCCCTGGTCCCCTGCCCTCCCCTGGTCCCCTGCCCTCCCTTGGTCCCCTGCCCTCCCTCCCCTGCCCACCCCCGCTTCCGTGATCCCCTCTGCTATCAACATTTAATTTCACATAAAAAGTAGCATAATGCATCTAAAACAAAAATCATGTAACCATAAACTGATAATCCTAGACATTAACATCATAGCTTCTCATGTTGTAGAGACAGAAACGGGTCATGTCCCGTTTAAAAAAAAATACCTCGTACCTTGAACTTGGCTCGAGCTGCCGTTGTAAACACGGGGTCCTGCAGACGGGCAGACGGTGACCCCTCTCCCCCTCTCCCCCCGCGAGCCAGGACCTCTGCCCCTGTGCTCCCCTGGCCCCCTGACCTCCTGCCCCCCAGCCTGGAGCCTCATCATGATTTATGACCCCAAATGTGACGTCCCTCCAAACCGTGAGCAAATATTAATCACCTGAAGTGGATTTCTGTAGATGTATGTTTTTGGAAATGTATTTCTGTCAGAATGTAAGCTTCTATCCCCATTTTTCAGGGAAAATGTTGGAAGACGTCCGTGTTTTCCTGCTGAAGAATGAGGTTCTACAGTGCAAAAAGTGATGCAAAAAAGGCTCAAAGTAAAAAGCAAAATGTATCTCAATTTGAGCACATTTTGAATGCCTCAAAACAAGATTTGGGACAGGGAAATTATCTTGATTTAAAAAGATACAAGAAATGTCTCCCTTGGAATGAAAAAATAAATCATTATTCCTTGAAATAAGACTAAATGACTTTTTCCCAAATCTTGTTTTAAGACTTAAGATTGTTTTGACACTCAGTTGGTCACACTCGGCCGTTTTTAACAGTACCGCAGCTTGTCGACTTAAGGCGACCGTGGCGCCTAGAAGGTGATTCTCATATACTGTACATTCTTGGTCTTCATAACTCTGTGACTTTATCTATTTCTGTATGTCGTTTATCTCTATGTCATTATTTGAAATTGTCTTTTACTAAATATCTACTTGTTAACATTTGGTAGCCAAACTGCTTTTTTCTGTTAACTTTTATTTACCAGTTTTAGCACACAAAAAAAGCCTTATAAAAAATTACAAAATTGTGGGAGAACTATAGTTTTAAAGAAGAAATGTCATGCATTCACTCTGGCCATTAAATATTACAATAAGACTGTTTACTTTGCCATTTCTTTCATGTTTTACAATGAAAGTGTCGACCCCCAATATTAGATTATGACCGTTTGGGAGCTGGGAAATGGCCCTGAATGGAACATGCCCTCTGCCCTTCAGTGCTGACCTGGGCCGGCTGTCTCCATGGCGATGCAGTGCACACAGAGGCCCGGTGGCGGTCGAGTGACTACGGATCGGGTTGTGCTTGTAAAACATTTAGGGACGTCACAACAAGCCGCTATACGCACAACAAGTAACACTATCCACAGGCGATCACTATAAACTGTATATACACGTGGACAATGCTAACCTGCTAGCTCGATGAAGCCCAATAGGGGAAGTGCTCAAGGATGGAGTCACTCTTTTTCCTATTGACTTATAATGAAAAGGAAACTCTAGCTTTACAAAGTTGTCGATTAACTAACAACATCAGGACATTGACAAAACAGTTCGAACGCAGAAAATACATTAATTAATAACATATCGGCGTCATTGGTCCATAGAGCGGGATGATCCTTAATGTCCTTAGACCCTCCTGCATCAACAAGGAACAACTAAATAATCATATCACAGTACATTAAAAAGAGTGAAGATAAAATCACTCAGATGTATGCACAGCTAAACAGAACTGTTTTTAACCCTGACAGTTCCAGGACTCAGGCTGTAGAACGAGGACTGAGGCTTTGGGAGAGTGGGGCTCAGGTTCAGCCCACGAGTCCGGGTCCGCAGGGGCAGATGAAAGAGGACATATTCAGGGGTCCCATCACCACGCCATCAAACAGACAATGGGACAGCAGAGGAATAGCAATCAAAACTCAAAACAGACTACAGCTAAACTCATAATGACGAATAAACAAAAATCAACTTTCACAGGAGCCTTTCCCATCAACCGGCCACAGTAATTGGACATGATATCGAATTGGTTCAATCCTATAAATATCTGGGAGTCCACCTGGACCACAGACTGGACTGGTCAGCTCAGGCCAATACCATCTACAAGAAAGGTCAGAGCAGACTTTTCTTTCTGAGTACACTGAGGTCCTTTGATGTGAGCAGTCAAATATTGCACATTGTTATGTTTGGACACCTTTCCCCCCCCTTTGGTTTTAAGTCTTATCTTTTTGGTCCAGGTATTTTTGGGTTTCATTGTTTTTTTTGTAAGATTGTGTTTTGTATAAGTATATTTTATAGGTTGCATTTTTGATAACGTTTTTGTAACTTATTTTGTGTATTTTGCAGCTCGGGTCGGGAGTATAAGAAGCGCTGTCCAGGTGCGCTCCCGGCCCTCTCAGTCTTTCCTGTTGAGGTGAGCGTGCACTCGCTGCACGCTCCCTCCTAGTCCTGGTTTGCGGTCTCCCCAGACGCTGCATGGTTTGCTTGTTTCTTTAGCCATTTGGTTAGCTTTTTTCTATGTCCTTATTTTTGTTTGATCTGTTGGGTCCGGTGGTTACATTTTCGTTTGAGGGTGTAGCTAGTTGGGTTTTGTTTATTCTTTAGTTAGGGTGCCGGCATTGGATCCGGACGGCCCTGTATAGGGTTGGTTCGGTGTCGGCCCACCAGGTCCACCTTTAATTTGATTACTTTGGGTTTTTGTATTCTGGACACAGGGTTGGTTTGATTTAATATTCATATTAATTAATAATAACAAACTAGAGTTCAGTTAAAAGAACATGTATAAATAAAATAATTATTTTTGAACTCTAAACCTGTCTCTGTGTCCTTAAAATATGTTTTGTCCTTCGGGTCGTAACACACATATTTTACCAGTCTGTGGTAGCTTGTGCCATGTTCTTTGAGTGTGGACTCTGTGAACATTTCGAGAGATCCTTTGTTCCTTCGGCTGTCAGACTGTACAATAAATCTGACTGACTGTACAACAACAAAAAAGAGTCTTCTGCTGCTGGACACATGGTCATTTCTCCTACGGGGGATCACTAAAGTATCTATCTATCTAAAGTAGGAAAAAGTATAACGCTCAAGTGACCATATACTTCTCCCAGCAAAGTGTCCACATATGTTGCTTGACTGACAGTAGTTTTTAGAGTTAAAGTTGTATTTCTGACTCTACCCACCTGCAGACCTCTGCCGTGGTGCTACAGGTCACTCGCCCTCGCACCGGGGTCCTGCAGCGGAGGGGGTTCAGACATGTAGGGGGGGAGGTGGGGGAGGCTAAGTGCTCGGACAGTGGGAGGTCCGGGTGAACGTTTGGGCAGACACGTTCCTCTCGCGCCTCTCCAGGGCCGCGGTGAGCACAAACAACATGCAGTGTTTGTTCGCCCACCGTCACCTGGGGGCCCCCGAAGTGGGTTTAAATGGATGTTGGCCGAGTCGGACAACAGCGGTCAAGTGGACGGTTTGAGGTGAAAATGTTCATCGCGAATGAACGATTTGACTGAGAATCACACTGTTTTTCGCTTTCTTGCAAGTGCCGACATCTTTTTTTTTTATAAAATTGTTTTTTCTATTTATTTAATTCATTATTATTTACTCAATTACCTATCCTATTTTATTCATTTTTTATTTTTTCATTCATTCATTTTACAATTATTGCTTGAGGAATGACATTTGATTTGACATAATGACCAGTGTGTTTTTCCCCCCAAAAAATGATAACTTGATTGCTGTTTTTCAACCAGTGTTTAACAACAAATGAAACCAAAATGAAAGTAAGCTAGACCTGGGGGAAGGGGCAAGGCATGGTGGTCAGGGGACTGAGGGGAGAGCAATGGCGGGGTGTGTATATGAGGATATAAACTCAAACTTCATGCATGAATTGCACAAAAACATCTTCAGGGAAAGCAACTGTACCACAACCAAAAGCTTAAGATTTTTAGGTCATGTCAATCAATCAAAAATGTATTTCTATTACACACTTTGTTCAGGCGACAGTAGCTCAGTTGGTAGAGCATCGACCTTTAGGCCTGAAGGTCGTAGGTTCGAATACACCTCGAGACCTACTTCACTACTCCCACTGATGACTGCTGTCATTGTGTCCTTGGGCAAGACACTTCACCCAACTTTGCCCAAAGCCCCTCGCTGGAAGATCAAGTCTCCTGTGGACTCATCACCTGCAGGAGGATCAGTGAGGGGCTGGTGCTATGTGTACTGGGTGCAACTTTGACTGCCACCCCCCCGTCCCAGAAATGGATTAAGGGGAAGAAAATGGACCATTTACCCGTTTCAGCTCTATACATTCTGAATGAACTGTGCAATAGAAACAAATGTTGATTTATTGACATAACCTTTAAATCTTAGCTTTTGGCCAAATTACAGTTGCTTTCCCCTTGTTATTAAAACACTAAGATGTTTTATCGCATTAAACAAAAATCTTTTTCGTTGTATAACCTGTCCATCTTTTCTCTGATACATGTAGAGTATCCTGTGTGGGCCGACAACACTCTTTCTGGAATAAAAAAAAAAAGGTGCAAAGGTCTCTAGTATCTTCTCTGCCTGACGTTATCACCTGGAGAGAGTTATTCTAGTCTGTAATTACTCCAGCGGAAAGCCCAAATCTGTCACATCCAATCAAAGGACGTGTAGGAAGCGGCGGTGTGGCCGAGCGTTCGTTAGCGCCACGGGAAGAAAAAGCAGCCAGGTAGTCAGAGCTGTAATGCTGACTTTATGACAGCGTGGGGAATGCAGGGTCAAAGATGTTGTGTATGTTTCTAGTGAGATCGTTAGCATGAGTTTGAACCTGCAACTAAAAGAAAGTATTCTGCAGTGTGATACTGCAAATAAGTAGTAGTAGTAGTAGTAAGTAGTAAGTAATCTTTATTTATATACCGCCTTTTCACTGCACATCGGAGTCTCAAAGCGGTTTACAATTGTTATTTTTGGGAGTGGGGGGGCCAGTACAGGAGGCACATGCCAGACCTATTGTACATATTTTTAGTGGTAGGGGAAACCGGAGGACCCGGAGGAAACCTACGCAGACACGGGGAGAACATGCAAACTCCACTCAGAAAGGCCCTGGTCCAACCGGGATTCGAACCCAGGACCTTCTTGCTGAGAGGCGAGAGTGCTATCCACTCAGCCACCGTGCCGCCCAATAAGGCAATGTTTGTATTTTACATTTCACGCTTTATCTACAATGAAGATTTACTTTGAAACGGAAAATCTAGTTAGGCATGGTGGATGAGTCGATAGCGCTCTCACCCCGCATTAGAGAGAACTGGGTACGAATCCCAGTCGGACCTGAAAAGCTTATGCTGACATCAGTCTTGAAGAATGACTTTGAGAAATTGAAGTGTAGAAAATGTCAAAGGTTTTTTCAAGTATACTTTAGTTGCCAGGGTTTACAGTGCACTTTGGACATGCTTATTGTTTTGAAAAAAAATAAAATAAAAAATATGTTTTTATATATATATAAAATCAATCAATGACATTTTGCTTAATGAATGCATTCACAACTATCACTTTAATTTTCACATAAAAATAAAATAATAACACAGACAATGCAGTTACGTGATATTATGTACAGACAAGTATGTAAAGCTCATTGAATCAGTGAGTTGCAATGATTTATCAGATCCACCAGGCGTCAGTATAGAGCAGCACAAGCAACACTGTTGCGGCACAGTATCAATACAGTTCGTTGGATGTGCCGAAACGATACGTGAGGTTTCATTTACCCATCACTAGTGAAAGCATATCAATTACGGTTTGTAGAACTAAATATGACGTTAGGTCGCGATAAATACCTGCAGCTCGCTCATTTCCAGCTCCCCTACGACAACACACCCACCGGTGAATGCAGTGTTGCTGCGCGAACTGCGGGGAACTCACGTTCGAACTCTCTCGCGAGCGCTACAACTACAGCGAGGCTTTGTTTCTTCAGAGACGGCATAGATAGAAAGAGAGATGCGGAGAAAGGTAAAAATGGCCCGGGTTACGCAAGTCTTTACAAGTCAATTGGCGCAAGTCCAAGTGAAAGTCAGAGTCATTGATGTTAAAGTCCAAGTCGAGTTGCAAGTCTTTTTATATTTGGTCAAGTCGAGTCTAAAGTCATCAAAATCATGACTCGAGTCCAAGTCACATGACTTGAGTCCACACCTCTGGTATCTGGTGTATGCGGTTACATGCAGCTCAGTAGAATTAGCTTGCACCAGTTCCTCCAAACTGGTTTTTGCTCCTCAATTGGCATTTCCGGTTTACATGCGTCTCTATCAATCTGATTTAATTGAAGAAGGTGGAGAATACGATTTTTCTATCTAAGTTCCTGTTTCTGTCCTGTAAATAGTGTGATGTCATTGTGTCCCTTTGACATCACACTCAGAGCCGTTTTCTATCTATAAAACAAAAGTATTGTCCCTAAATTAATTTTGATAATTTCTTGTGTGAAATGCAGTACCTTTACTCCTCCCTCTGGTGGAAGCATTGGGAGTTACACACTGAAAGCGTTTTTACCCCATTCTGTACATATATACGTTGTATTCAAGATATTATTCCTCATTCTAAAATATAAAATTATAAAGAAAACATTATTGTGTTTAATGTCCAACGATAATGCATCATGTATTTTTTTTTTAAGTTCAAACATAGAAAAGGTGAGAGTGCGAGACGCGGCCGTTTCGTTTCCCCGGGACTTTTTGTCTCTCCTTGGGCGGACTCACACTGGAGGCATTCTGCTGCGAGTAATTTGTGTTTGGTGACCTGCTGTGGCCGTTGTGTCCTGTTTGCCCAACCAAGCCCACCTAATCCCCCCCCCCCATATGTGGCCCATCTCCGATGCCGCTCGCCTGCATGTGTGTGTGCGCGCGCTTCCGAATGTTAAACGTTTTCCGTTTCTCCGCGCTCACATCTCCGACATAACCTTTCCCTTCGCGCCTCACTCTGCGGGAGTTAATGCATGCCGCCCCCCCAAACCCCTCTCCCACGTCGCCTATGACCCGGTCTCCATGGCGATGCGGCGGATGGGGTGTCCCGTCCGTGAAAGGCACCTGGCACCTGGCCATCTCTCGGGTCAGCGGGAGAGACAGAGAGAGAGAGAGAGGGGTTCTCGCGGTGTGTTTAGCCTCGGCCCTCTCGGGGTGCGGCCGCGAATGAACTTCTTTATTCACGCGGCGGGGCGTGGAGCCGCACTTTGGAACACGCTGCCAAGTTCATCTGAGAAAACAAGGGCTTTGAGGCGGTGCTGATGCGAGAAGTACAAAACGCGAACGCAAAGATCAAACTGTGCGTGTAAAGCGGGGCGCGTTTGACGAGGGCGAAGAAGTAAAGGTCCTCTTCCTCATGAATACTGCTCGACTTTACAACACTCTTATACATAATATCCTTGTTTACAACATCATTTAAACTAAAGCGATGATCCATTATCAGCTTGTGCGAACGAGAGGTTCCGCGGGTCTTTCCTTCCTGCTGCTGTCAGACTGTACAATGACAACTGCTGAGCCATGTCATTCATCTGTAAATAAGTAAAAACTGCAATTTCAATGTCCACCGAATGTCACTTTATCTATTTATTATCCTGCCCCATATGTGTATATCTTTACACTATATGTATATTGATATTGAAGCATTTACAACTAGGCAAGGCAAGGCACGGCAAGTTTATTTATATAGCACAATTCATACACAAGGCAATTCAAAGTGCTGAACAAAATAAGAAAGAATTAAAATCATAAATAATCATTCCATTCCATTCCATCTTCTTCTGCTGCATCCGTTGCCGGGTCGCGGGGGCAGCAGTCTAAGCAGAGACGCCCAGACTTCCCTATCCACACACACTTCCTCTAGCTCGTCTGGGGGGACCCCAAGGCGCTCCCAGGCCAGTTGAGAGACATAGTCCCTCCAGCGTGTCCTGGGTCTTCCCCGGGGCCTCCCGGTGGGACGTGCCCGGAACACCTCCCCAGGGAGGCGTCCAGGAGGCATCCGGAACAGATGCCCGAGCCACCTTAACTGGTTCCTCTCGACGTGAAGAAGCAGCGGCTCTACTCCGAGCTCCTCCCGTGTGACTGAGCTCCTCACCCTATCTCTAAGGGAGCGCCCAGCCACTCTGCGGAGGAAGCTCATTTCGACCGCTTGTATCCGCGATCTCGTTCTTTCGGTCATTACCCAAAGCTCATGACCATAGGTGAGGGAGGGAACGAAGATTGACCAGTAAATTGAGAGCTTTGGCTTTCGGCTCAGCTCCCTCTTCACCACAACGGTCCGATACAGCGACCGCATCACTGCGCACGCTGCACCGATCCGCCTGTCAATCTCACGCTCCATCGATCCCTCACTCGTGAACAAGACGCCGAGATACTTGAACTCCTCCACTTGAGGAAGGACCTCCCCACCCACCTGAAGAGGGCAAGGCTTCCGGTTTTTCCGGTCGAGCACCATGGCCTCAGATTTGGAGGTGCTGATTCTCATCCCAGCCGCTTCACACTCGGCTGCAAACCGCCCCAGTGCATGTTGCAGGTCCTGGTTCGTTGGAGCCAACAGGACGACATCATCCGCAAACAGCAGAGATGAAATCCTGTGGTCCCCGAACCGGGCCCCCTCCGACCCCTGGCTGCGCCTAGAAATTCTGTCCATGAACACAGTGAACAGAACCGGTGACAAAGGGCAGCCCTGTCGGAGGCCAACATTCACCGGGAACAGGTCTGACTTACTGCCGGCAATGCGAACACAGCTCTGGCTCCGGTCATACAGGGACCGGACGGCCCTCAGCAGAGGACCCCGGACCCCGTAATCCCGGAGAACCCCCCAAAGTACACCCCGGGGAACACGGTCGAACGCCTTCTCCAAATCCACAAAGCACATGTGGACAGGTTGGGAGAACTCCCATGAACCCTCGAGTATCCGATGGAGAGTATAGAGCTGGTCCAGTGTTCCGCAACCGGGACGAAAACCACACTGCTCCTCCTGAATCCGAGATTCGACTATCGGCCGTAGCCTCGTCTCCAGTACCTTGGAGTAAACCTTACCAGAGAGGCTGAGGAGTGTGATCCCACGATAATTGGAACACACCCTCCGGTCCCCCTTCTTGTAGAGAGGGACCACCACCCCGGTCTGCCACTCCATTGGCACCGCCCCCGATCGCCACGCGATGTTGCAGAGACGTGTCAGCCAAGACAGTCCTACAACATCCAGAGACTTTAGATAGTCAGGACGGATCTCATCCACTCCCAGCGCCTTGCCACCATGGAGGCTGCCAACCACCTTGGTGACCTCTGCCAGGGAGATGGAAGTATCCACCCCAACATCCTCAGCCTCTGCCTCCAGGGCGGAGGACGTGACGGGGGGATTGAGGAGAACCTCGAAGTATTCCTTCCACCGCCCGACAATATCCCCAGTTGAGGTCAGCAGCTCTCCACCCGCACCGTACACAGTGTTGGCAAAGAACTGCTTCTCCCTCCTGAGGCGCCGGACGGTTTGCCAGAATCTCTTCGAGGCCGACCGATAGTCATGCTCCATGGACTCTCCGAACTCCTCCCAGTCCCGGGTTTTTGCCTCTGCAACAGCCCGGGCCGCAGCGTGCTTGGCCTGCCGATACTGGACAGCTGCCTCAGGAGTCCCATGAACCATCATTGCTCAATAGGACTCCTTCTTCAGCCTGACGGCATCCCTTACTGTCGGTGTCCACCACCGGGTTTGGGGATTGCCGCCGGGACCAGCACCAGAGACCCTGCGACCACAGCTATGAGCCGCCGCATCGGCGATAGTGGAAGAGAACATGGTCCACTCGGACTCAATGTCCCCCTCCTCTGCCGGGACGGATCTCATCCACTCCCGGCGCCTTGCCACCATGGAGGCTGCCAACCACCTTGGTGACCTCTGCCAGGGAGATGGAAGTATCCGCCCCAACATCCTCAGCCTCTGCCTCCAGGGCGGAGGACGTGACGGGGGGATTGAGGAGAACCTCGAAGTATTCCTTCCACCGCCCGACAATATCCCCAGTTGAGGTCAGCAGCTCTCCACCCGCACCGTACACAGTGTTGGCAAAGAACTGCTTCTCCCTCCTGAGGCGCCGGACGGTTTGCCAGAATCTCTTCGAGGCCGACCGATAGTCATGCTCCATGGACTCTCCGAACTCCTCCCAGTCCCGGGTTTTTGCCTCTGAAACAGCCCGGGCCGCAGCGCGCTTGGCCTGCCGATACTGGACAGCTGCCTCAGGAGTCCCATGAACCATCATTGCTCGATAGGACTCCTTCTTCAGCCTGACGGCATCCCTTACTGTCGGTGTCCACCACCGGGTTTAGGGATTGCCGCCGGGACCAGCACCAGAGACCCTGCGACCACAGCTATGAGCCGCCGCATCGGCGATAGTGGAAGAGAACATGGTCCACTCGGACTCAATGTCCCCCTCCTTTGCCGGGACCTGGGAGAAGCTCTCCCGGAGGTGTGAGTTGAAAGTCCGTCTGACAGGGGGCTCAGCAAGACGTTCCCAGCAAACCCTCACTACACGCTTGGGCCTGCCAGGTCTGACCGGCTTCCTCCCCTGCCAGCGGATCCAACTCACGACCAGGTGGTGATCGGTTGACAGCTCCGCCCCTCTCTTCACCCGAGTGTCCGAGACACGCGGTCGAAGGTCAGATGATACGACAACAAACGGTGAGAGACTTGTCCCCCACCCGAAGGCGGAGGGACGCGACCCTCTCATTCACCGGAGGAGAACTCCAACACGTGGCGGCTTAGATGGGGGGCAATGAGAATGGCCACCCCAGCTCGCCGCCTCTCCCCGCGAGAAACACCAGAAAAGTGGAGCGTCCAACCCCTCTCAAGGAGTTGGGTTCCAGAGCCCAAGCTGTGTGTGGAGGTGAGGCCGACTATCTCTAGTCGGTATCGCTCGACCTCCCCCACGAGCTCGGGCTCCTTCCCCCCCAGTGAGGTGACGTTCCACGTCCCAAGAGCCAGATGTTGGGTGTGTGGACTGGGTCGCCGAGGTCTCCGCCTTCGACTGCTGCCCAGTCCTCTCTGCACCGCGCCACCACGGACCCCTCTGCAGGTGGTGGGCCCACAGGAGGGACTGCCCACGTCGTCCCTTCGGGCTGAGCCCGGCCGGGCCCCGTGGGCTAAGGCCCGGCCACCAGGCGCTCGCATTCGAGCCCCGACCCCAGGCCTGGGTCCAGGGTGGGGCCCCGGCTGCGCCATGCCGGGCGACCATAAATAATCACAGAACATTAAAAAGAAAGATAAAAATATAAAATCCCTCAGTATGCACAGCTAAACAGAACTGTTTTTAACCTGGTTTTAAACATTGTCAGAGAGGAGGCCTGTCTCACATCTTCAGGAAGATTGTTCCAGATTTTAGCAGCATGAATCTGAAAAGCAGCCTTCTCATGTTTAGTCCTGACTCTGGGCACTAACAGGAGTCCAGTCCCTGTGCTCCTCAGAGTCCGGGCTGGTTCATATGGTACTAACATGTCACTAATATATTTTGGTGCGAGGCCATGGAGAGACTTGTAACAAGCAGAGCTGTTTTAAAGTCTATTCTCTGAGCCACAGGAAGCCAGTGCAAAGACCTGAGGACCGGACTAATATGGTCGTACTTCCTGGTTCTAGTCAGGACTCGAGCGGCTGCATTTTGAATGTACTGCAGCTGTTTTACAGCCTGTTTGGACAGACCTGTGAGCAGACCATTGCAGTAGTCTAACCTACTGGAGACAAATGCATGGATAAGAATCTCCAAGTCTGCTTTAGACACTATGTTTTTGATCCTGGCATTGTTTTTTAGTTGGTAAAAAGCTGCTGATGTTACTGATTTAATGTGGCTATTAAAGATTAAGTCTGAGTCCAGTATTACCCCTAGATTTCTGACCTTGTTTGAAGGTTTTAGAAAGAGAGACTGTAGGTGACAGATGACGCTCTCTCTTGTAACTGAGAAACTAGCAGTTACTCATATTGTATATTTTGTGTGCTACCTGTGTGCTCTTCCTACTGTCCTGTATGTGTGCTGCAACATTGACATTTTCCCATTGTGAGACAAACTAAAGGTTATCTTCGTATCTTAGAAGAGTAAAAAGAT